ATCGTCACTAAGCGCTACTTAAAGCAATCTGAAGATGCCGAGATATTGCGCAATCGCAAGTAACCGTCTTCAACACACAAATTCTGGTCATTTTGTGGTTTTTTATTACATCGAAGAGTCGCATCACGCATTTGTCGCAGTTCTTTTAATAAGCTATGCTACAATACTTTTCAAGACATGTGCTCAGCTTTACTGATTAGTTGCTTCTCATTTATTCTTGGAAAGAAACGTCCAGAAATTTTTATAATTCACTGAGGATTCTTTACGATAGGGGATGATCCACCATCAGGTTGATGGAAGCCAAAATGAAATTTAGGTTTAGTCCACTAAAATATATGATTTATCTAACGTATAACCATATATGTACAGCTTATCTAAGCTACCAAGCTTTTATGATCTTCAAACTAGTGAAACCGCTATTCTAAAGCAACCTAGCTTAAAAAGATACTGTATCTACCACTCACATAGGTGTATTTTTTCTGGACCATTGACAACTCATGGACGAATCGCGATAGCTATTAAAGGGCGCACACGTTTCCCACAACGATGTTACCATCTCTGTGAGGGGACGATTTCCTAGTGGCCTAAGCATATTTTATTTAAAATTTGTTTTTTAAGTAAATTCAGATTTTCGAGAGCTTGCTCAGTTCGCCTTACTTAGGTTCTAATTATGACCTATTATCTCAGAAAGGTGGTGATCCCGATAGCGATTTCTAAGGATAATTCCACGTTTAAGTTTTAAGAATTTGGTTTTGAGCACTGGTTTTACTCTATCTCATTGGCTGCTATTTCAACCAGCTGAATTCAATGTCTGCCCTGAGCTATATATTTTGACATCCGTTTATTTAACTTTCAAGGTTTTCTAGTCGAGTAAATCATGGAGATCACTCAGCCTGAATTATTCATCGCAGATTTTCTCACTTGAAACGCTCTCCGTATTCAGAATTGTTTCCTTTTTTAACTAAGAGCAAAAGGTACAAGCAAGTAAATATTGTTCCTTGTTATCGTTTTTTTAATATTTGTACTTGTAAAACACCTAGAATTTTGGTCAGTACAAGTTTATTAAATAAGATTAAGAGTTGTATCACATGAATAAATTTGGCACTGTGACGGTTAATTTTTTTAAATGTCGTTCAGTCGGTACTCGAGTGCGATAGTATTCCGGCTTCTCTAGATGCTCATTTTTTTCATGAATCTCATTTGATCTTGAAGCAATCTGCAGCACTTTCTAGTTGAATATGTTTAAGGTAATATATCGCCATGCCCAAGCAAATCACCGAGATCAAGGACTTTTTGGTACTGGCGCGCCGAAAGGACGCAAAGATCGTTAAGATCAAGAAGAATAGCCTCAATGTGAAATTCAAGGTTCGCTGCAGCAGATACTTGTTCACACTCGTTGTCAATGTGAGTCCATTTTACTTCCCTGTATTTCTTCATTTTGATCTAAGTGTTTTTTGTTACTTCTGTTCTTTGCAACTTATACATTATATGTTTAAAGAGGGTGTTGCTTATTTTCCATTTTTCTATAGTCTAAATCGTCTGGATACACGTTGTACAGCAAAACAACAACTAACGTCTGCGAAGTTCGCTGCAATGAACTTTTTGGCAACACTTACTTTGCTGGTGAAGATGAAAAAATTTCCATAGATCCACGTTACTCCCCTTCTATCTTTTCGAATTTTTCATAGTTTCGAAAACTGAAGAAATAATGCAGTACACAAATAAAAACAAACAAATACAACTTAATTCGGTCCGTTTTTTTTTGCTTGAAAAACGCATTTATTTGAATCATAAAATGAATTAAT